AAAATGTCTGTCTCCCTTCAGGACTGCAACAGAAACGAGAACCAAAGTAGGCTTCCCACAACACAACTCCGTTCATCCCATCCCCATCCATCTCTACCCATACATCATTTCCATCCACACCTCCGTCCCTCCCTCCCTCCTTTCCTCTCTCCATCTGTCCATTCGTCTATCCATCCATCCACGCATCCATCCATCTATCCTTCTATCCATCTGCAACTCGAGAACATGAAATCGCTAGTAATCACGGATCGCATTCCTCGGTAAGGGATTGCTCAGCGTCATTGACCATGCATATCAGTCCCAGCATTGCGAGATTTGAACCCGCAACTTATGCAAGTTTTTGCAGTATTTCAAGAGTCTGTTCTTTGGTTCTTGCCAGGATTCGCGCCTGGAACCAAATGAGGCAAGTACCTTCGTTATATTTTTCTTCACCGTTTTGAAGCTCGTGAGTTTTTAGCTTGGGACCTACTTGGAGAGTCTCTGTTTGCCTGGCATAGCGGCAGAACCTTTTTGGCTAGTAGATTTAGGCCACCTTCTTGTAGGCAGACCCGGTAGGCCCCAGGCAAGTAGCAACTCGTCAAAAGTGGCAAGCTGGGGCAGAACTCTCGTCCAGAAATCATTCGCCATAATTTGCTGCTTGGTGAGACTGAAAGAGCGCTACTTTCAGCACTGGTTGCGGAGCGAAAGGGCCCATCCATAGCCAGTGAGAACTTGCTGTGTACTGGACGGTTTCTTGAGCCGAGTGCTACATGTTGCTCAGAGAGGCAGCGTGCTCAAATTCTATCAGCTTGTTCTGGTTCCACAACTATTTTGTGTGCGATTGTTCGATTCGATGTTCAATGGAGCTTTCAACCAAGTGTTACCTCATCTGAATTCACTGTGTAAGGGACATGATGGATGGAAGGACATGAGATTCTTGAAATATGTAGCTCAGCGTGACTAAATCAACACTACCAACCACTGATACCTTCAGACTTCAGCTCCCAACCCTGTTTAATGTTTTGCAGCAGTACGTTCCGTGATTAACTCGGAACCGGAAACTCTCTTGAAAAGCTAAAAGCGCCTAACATTATGGTCAGGTCATGCCAGATTGCACATAGAAAGGGAAAACACAAATAACTATCGGTAATCAATACGCAAAAGCAGCACTTTTCGTGACGCTCATCTGGGTCTCTCCGAAGCCTTGCATACAAGGCACGCATGACCTCCTGGTGTCCAGCTGAAAACATTGGCCCCGTCCAAGGTACACGTGACTCTGGAACACCAGCAAACTCATAACAACCTGGGTAAGCCTGGGTAAACCTTGAGTTTATGGAATGTTCTTATCAGCATGCAGCATCAGAGATGAACAGCCCAACCATGCATCTGAGTTTTCTATTTGCAGTAGACTGAGGGATACAGACATTGATCTTGGAGCAATCTACGGCCTGAGCCTGTGATACATGCTCGGTTGAGCAATGTATATGGAGCCAAGGATCTGCAAAGTGATGAAAAGGACTTGAATGGACAATGCAGCGTCAGCAAAGCATCAACAAGCAAACATATGAAAATAGCACAACGTAGCGCAGCGGAAGACTCAAAGATATGACCTGACCTGTCAGACACTGACACGACATCCCATCATAAACCGCACATGTGAGAGAGGGAGGAGGGACCGCATACATGGAACAAAGGTCCATCTTTGCACACGCACATGGGGTAGATACCGCGGATGAAGAGATGGGGGAAGAGGCGAGATGGAGATGGAGGTGAGGGAGAAGACCAAGATCACGATAGCAAAATCCAGAAATAGTCTCCCTGCCGAATGTCCAATCAATGTCTGCCACAAAAAATGTTGAATCAGATCCTGGGCTTCATGCCCGATGTAACCTCTGCCTGTCTCTCTCTCTCTCTCTCTCTCTCTCTCTCTCTCTCTCTCTCTCTCTCTCTC